GAATGTATCACTTAGGTAATCAGCATACAATCCCCAAACATATCAAACTCATAATCGCCCTTTTCCTGAATCTCCTTATAGCTCCTCATAACAAACTCCGTTCCTGCGAACGCAGCCGTAAGTACGATATGACTAGACCGCGGGCGATGCAAATTAGTTAGCAGCACATCAACAGCATTGAACTCGAATCCCGGATAGATATAGAGATCGGTCCATCCATGCTGGGGCTTGATGGTACCCTTACGGCCGGTCTCACGGGTAATGGTCTCCAGCGTCCGCATAACAGTCGTGCCGACAGCAATAACGCGACGGCCTTCGCCCCGTGCTCGATTCAGCTGTGCTGAGGTCCTTTCACTGACCTCGTAGTACTCCGATCGCACCTTGTGCTTTTCAATTTCCTCAACACTAATATGGCGAACAGAGAGGATCTCAGTCGCCCCTACATGCAGAGTGATATAGGCGATTTCCACACCCTTGGCGGAGATTTCGGCGAGCAGCTCATGAGAGAAGTGCAGTCCGGCGGAAGGGATCTCCAAAGAGCCGGGCTTCTTAGCGTACACAGAGCGATAAGCATCGGGCTTTTCCTTCCAGTATGTAGGGTTCAAATGGATGTTTTCGTCGAGCCGGGCTCCGTATTGGTCGAGAGTTGGGAGGAGGAGGTCACCGGGACTGAACTGGACCTTCCACAGCTTATCGGGCTGCTGCTCAAGGAGAGTGCATTTGAGCTTCTCTTCGTCCATGGAGGTGAGGGTTTGGCCTCGTTTAAAAGTAACCTCGAGCTTCTTGAGCTCCACAATGGTGGTTCCGTCTGGCTCGTGGCCGTAGACTGTTAGTTGGAGGGATTCGTTGTTGCCGTGCTCGAACCACAGGGTGTTTGACAGCATGTAGCTGTCGTTCAGCACGAGAAGATCTCCGGGGCGGAAGTAGTCTCCAATGCTGGAGAATATGGCATGGTCGATCTTGGAGCTTTCACGATCCAAGACAATCATCTTTCCGCTATCGCGGGTTTTACCTCGAAGCTCGACGGGGTCATGGGGCATGACCTTGTAGTCGAGGTTAAACTCGAATTCAGTAGTCTTCATAGTGATCACAATAAGTATGTAATTGAAATATATATATCTGAAGTAATCCCGATAAATGTGGTTTGAATATCTGTTGAGCCGAAGAAGTAGCAGCACGGCTAGGAAGACGTTTGGGCCCTTTTATCTTCTATTCAAGTCCCATCGTAAAAATGTCTAGGGCAGCTAGGTGTGCGACATTACTCGCACATCGAATCCAGAGGTTATGTAACTGTGAGATTCTCGTAAGAGATGGATAGATAATAACTCGCTATGCAACATTACTCGCACATCGTACATCTCACAGTGGAACACGTTCGGCAAAATACTGTATGCACTTATTGGTCTCCTTTTGAGTTTAATAGTGCTAAAGACAGCTAGCGATGCAACATCGCCAACGAAGCTGTAGCCACATTGACCCCGTTTAGTCAACATCTGAGATTATGGCAGAAGGGATAGTGTGAGTAGTTTTCGGCCAGATTCATCAGTTACCGCCCTTCCATCAAGATCCCTAGAGCGATGAATTTTTGAACATGATCCTGCCATGTAAGTGGAGTATGGGATCGGCATGAGTGAAGCCGCCGTAGCATCTCCCTCAATAAGACTCATGCACGGGCGGCACACTGTAGTCCGAGACCAGACACATGGTGGGTGATGTTGGAATTGCACCCGAACTGCATTTGAAGAGGATGATTGTTTGATGCAAGTTGACCTTACTTAGACAATCGCTGCCCAAATCATCCGTGCAGCCTGCAATATGTCCTGGTAAGCAATTGTAGCTCAAGTTGAAGGATTTGTTTGATCTATGTCAACATGTCATACCCCGTATACATAATATCCGTGGTTGAAAACGGGAACTAACCGCGTGCGGGTATCATGTATGTCACACTGGCGAATAATAAATGTCCGCGGAGAATTCCAGAATACGAACCATAAATCATTCTAGCAGTGTCATTGGTATCTCAGACATTCCTCCTTTATCCCCACAGCTAGTCTCTTCAATTGGTGCCTCTGGTGGCTCAATCATCCTAAGGGGGGAGGAATCCGGAATAGTATTCTATGTGACTGTACCGGACTAGAATACGGTTCTGTAGTTTCTATGAGCAGCCATGGCCGTGACAAGCACAGTGATGAGGCGCACATCCCGGTATGCTACTGTAACATCCATAGACAAGAGCTGAACATTGACATAAGAGAGGCGATGCCAATCCAGATCCAACATGTTACATGTCCATCTCAGACATCGGGTTACTTTCGTCTCACGCAGGGTTTCATTATAGCTATAGAAAGCATCAGGATGAGCGAAAATTTCAAACGATGCACGGGATAGGTACTCACTCATAGTTTCCGGGATCACACAACAGCTGCAAATCCACGGATAATCATTTCTTCTCAATTTCACTAGTATTGAACGGTTAAAGAGGGTCTACGTGGAATCTTCATATCATGTCTTCAGTCAAAACAGCTAAGAGCAATCCATTGATACTTCCTCTTGGTCCTCTCAACAGCCGAACCACCACAGGCAAATACGACATCGATCTCAATGATGATGGAAAACCTTTGGCCACCGAGCAGCATGGTTCAAAGGACCTTCACTTTTTCAATGACCGCCAACATGCCAATTCCGGCCCTGCGTTGATCTCGGAACGTCCTATCGACCAGCCTCGGCCACTGAAACTCATCTACATCGGTGCAGGCATTTCAGGAATCGTCGCTGCCATACAGTTTCTGAAGGCTGTGCCTCACTTGGAATTGATTATTTATGAGAAGAATCCCGAACTAGGAGGGACATGGTTCGAAAATAGATATCCAGGCTGCGCGTGTGGTGAGCTTTGCAGGACCAAATCTCATGACATATCAACCGTTACTGACTGATTGTGCAAATAGATGTGCCATCTCACACTTACCAGCTTAGTTTTGAGTCGTGGACTGAATGGAGCCACTTCTTCTCTGGATCAGAAGAGATTCTCGAGTACTGGAAACGTGTGGCCCAGAAATATAATGTTCGGAAACATATACATTTCAATCGGCGATGTATCGAAGCACGATGGAACGATGCCACCAACCTGTGGACTGTTCAGCTCCAAGACGTACTTACTGGGAATACCTTCGAAGACTCAGCCGACGTGTTGATGACTGGAACGGGCCTGCTTAACGAGTGGCAGTGGCCTTCAATTCCTGGTCTACAATCCTATAAGGGACAACTGCTTCACAGCGCTAGCTGGGACGAAAGCTTCAAGCCCGAGGTAAGTTACACTTTAAATACATCCAGCATACTGGTTCTAATTGATCCTCAGGGGAAAGCCGTAGCCGTAATCGGCTCCGGAAGCACCGCAGTCCAGATTGTTCCCGCAATCATCGACAAAGTAAAGTCTATGGACCACTACGTTCGTGGAGGGACATGGATATCCAACCAACACGGTAGCCCTCACCTTGCGGCACGAACGAATAATCAAGCTATGAATTTTCGCTACACGGAAAAAGAGAAGCGGGAATGGAGGGATGACCCATCATCGTACCTCAAGTATCGCAAGGAACTAGAGCTAGAGATCCAGAGCCAATTCGCCATTTCCCAACGGGATAGTGATATCCAGAAGTCTGCCACAGCACAGCTCCGAGCTGGCATGCGGGAGAGACTAAAAGCAAAACCCGAGCTCCTGGACCTCCTGCTGCCTGACTTTCCTCCGCTCTGTAACCGGCTGACACCTGCTCCTGGATATCTGGAGGTGTTAGTATCGCCGAAAGTCAATGTAATCGGCACATCAATTGCTCGTGTCGATGAATCTGGTATCATCACCACAGATGAAAAACATCGCCCCGTTGACGCAATCATCTGCGCAACCGGCTTCGAGAAAAACCTAGGGGCCAATTTCCCAATTATAGGCCGTGATGGCAGCATCCTTTCTGACAAGTATGCCAATCGGCCAGAGACATACCTGGGCCTTTGCACCGATGGATTTCCAAATTTCTTCCAGTCCCTTGGACCCAATTCTTTTCAAGGCGCAGGAAACCTTCTCATCATGATAGAGCAGACACATGCATACGTCGCGCAGATATTATTGCGAATGGCCTATGGCAATGTCGGAATCGTAGAGCCAAGGCGGAAACAGGTCCTGAATTTTACAAATTATGCAGAGAAGTATTTCGAACGAACAGTCTACAGCTCCGAATGCAACAGTTGGTACAAGTCACCTCCAGCCGGTGCAACGACTCTGCAGCAGCGTAAGAGGGGTCGTGTTACTGCTCTTTGGCCCGGAAGTAGCCTCCATGCTATTAAAGCACTTGAGCATGTGAGGTGGGAAGACTTTGAAACTACAGCATATGACGGTAATGAGTTTGGGTGGTTCGGAAATGGTTGGGCTGAGGTGGAGATTTCTTCGGAGAGAGGAAATCCGGATGCAATGGCCTGGTACATGAACCGGACGTCGTTTCTTCATGGTGGTGATTAGTTGTATGTTAGCAATGATCCAGTAGTTGGTATATATTTCCACACGTTTAGTCGGTTAAGAATCTATCATGCAATCCAATCTTCAGCTATCGTTTTTCTTTTTTCAAAGAACGCCTCCATGTGACCTCCCAAGACCTCATCCCAAAACCCCCATCATTCCCCTAAAGGCCACTACTATAGACCCTGATAACTATATGTCGCATCCGCATGTACCATTTTCATTGGTGCATACCTGAGGTTCAAACAATTACAATCTTCGTCTTCAAGCTCAGCTGTTTGCGCATAATAGAGCTAATCCTAGATGAGGTAAGATTTGCAGTCTCTTTAGCGTATTGTTTAGTACCAATAACAATGGCCTGTCTTCGCCTTCTGTGGCTATGCACGGATGCCTAAGGACAACAACATCATTGCGAGCCCAGCCTCGCGAAAATAAAATGGGCACCTTCAGCTCAGCAAAAGGTAGAACCCTTCGATTCTTTTATGTCATTACCAAGATGCCCAAGCATCTAGAGAACTTTCCTTTACATCCAGAACGAAACGAAATCCGTCTCCTCACTATCTTACCCAGCACAAAGGCTGAATCCATAATCAGGTGCTCTCTCGAGTCTGTATCACTGGATAATAGCCCTGAGTTCGAGGCTATTTCGTATGTCTGGGGAGATGCCTCAAAGAAGACAGATATAATCATCGATGATACCCTCTTTTACGTGACACGGAGTGTGGATAAGACACTTCGCCTCCTTCGCCTTAAGGACCGGCAACGAGTGGTATGGATCGACTTTGTCTGCATCAACCAGGATGATGTCCCTGAAAAGAACACACAAGTCCCATTACTTGGGCGTGTTTATGAGAGCGCGTCTGCGGTTATTGCTATGATGGTGAATAGTAACATGGATCTACGTGCTGCCATTTCCTGGACAAAGGCATGCGAGCCGGGCCGGGTCACTCGGGAAACACTTGCATGGCGCGTTCTAGACACACTGAGCAAATACTGCCAGAAAGCTCGAGTTCAAAGGGCGAGGCGACTGGTCAATGTGTACGATCAGTTGCGGCTCATCAGGGATGACCCTTACTGGGCACGCATGTGGACATACCAGGAATACCAGCTGGCCAGAAACGATCCAGTTTGCATGAGTGGATCGCTCACATTTAATCCTAATCAAATGATCTTTTTCGCCAGTGACAGTCTTAGGCAGGCATACTGGAGTGATCAGGAATTTCAGCAATCATTTAAAAGAAGGTACCGCCCGACGGAGTTGTTCAGGAAGCTCTCGGATTCTTATCAGCCACTTGAACGATTCAACTATGAAAATGCCCTGTATCATCTTCGCAAGACATTGCATCGACAGTGCAAAGATCCCCGAGACAGAGTATACGCATTGTACAGTTTGCTTCCTTCTCTACAAGCCAAGTACCCCCCGGACTACAATAAACCAGTTGAGCAGATCATGCACGAAACAACAGCATTTATCATGACACAGGAAGGGCCCGATGCTCTAAACTTCTTTGAACCCCAGGAATACAATGTTTCATCTGGTTGCTCATCTTCTTATCCTTCCTGGGTTCTCGATTTGGGTTGTGCCACGGAGTCTCTGGGTAACCTTATTGGTGACTACCGCTGGTGCTCGGACGCCTGGAAGCCATTACCAATGATCACAAACGAGCTGTCCACTATGACAATTGCTGCTCGTCGCATCGGCTCCTGCTTCCCAGTTGTACAGTTGGCTTCCAAAATGGCAGATATCATCGATCAATTTGTTAGTGTCACAGATGTACGCTATGACATCTGGGGGAGCTTAGATTCCAGACGTCTTAGTCTCGTGCATGCGTGCCTGGCTTATTCTCATCTTCACGCCACATTTGAGCAAGATTCAAGCGCCAAAACAACGGAGACATTCGATCTTCTCCATAAGATTGACATACGTCGCGCAAGCAACCCGTGGTGGAAGGAGCTCTGTGATGTTCTTCCGTCGAATTCCGGGAAGATTGTTTTCGGCGTAGATGATCCGATAGTTGAAGGGTTCGGAATTAGCGGACCTAATGTGCAGCAAGGAGACGTGGCAGTGATGGCTTCTGGAGTGCCGGTGCCGCTTATACTTCGCCCTTATCGGGAAGACAACGAGCTCTATTATCGCCTAGTGGATAGAGCCTACATTCCTTTGATGTCCCAAATTGCTGTATTACGCCGCAGGTTTGACGGTGCTCGGTTCTTAGAACGTCCACCTCAGGTATTTTCTTTACGATAGATCATCTCAGTATCGCAGCTGTATATCCTATATGGGATGAACTTCGGGGCTATGTCAATATGATGTGATGATCACCTGCCCCTCTGGAGGCTAGCGATATTCATTTTATTGACCCTAGGTACCAGTTAGCGCCGCTGTATCCAGGTCCGCTATGTTCTACGTTCCCCGTTGATCTTATATAGCTGTTCCTGAGCGATCACAATGAGGCGCAGGTGCCTGAGTCACTGAAACATCTTGTACGGAGTCCGTTGTGTATACTTCCACGCCAGTGGCGGGAGATGCGTGGAGGAGAGTACCGGTTCCGTATGTGGCTATAACGAAGGATTATTCGGTCCTGAAGGGGTATCAGGATTTTAGGTTGGGGAGGGTCAGAGGGGAGGGGGGTGGATTTTAGGGTTGTGCAGGTGGATACGACGTAGAGTGTTTTCTTGTCCGGGTTGTGGGGGAGGTTGTGGGGGATGAGAGTGATCCTTGAGAGGGGGGCGGGGCGGTTGTGCCGTTTGAGGTATAGGAGTTAGTAGGGGAAGAGGGTCGTTGATTGTGACTGGGTAGGATATTGGGTGAGTATTGTGATATAATATATATAATACCTTGTGCTGGTGATATTCTGTGATGGCGGCTGAGAGTGGTAAATATATATTCATTCTATGGGGGGTCGCTATTTTCGGCTCAATATATAGGTACCTACTTAGTATACCGTGCAGGCACTTAAAGTTCGAGATACTCATACTATCGGTGATTCATGTCAGATTTCGACTACATGTTGAGCATATGTCAGGTACGAAGGTCTTGTGTCTTAAGATGTACAGCCAGCACCACGCATTTTAGAAAACTCACCAAGCTACTAATGAGATCCTATTGAAGTAGAAGCAGTACACGAGTGGTTCATTTATTGGCATTTCGCCACACTAGTAAATAAGTAAAAAAACCCGCATCAAGCGGTATCTACAGCTCTACTTACTCTGCATCTCATCCTCACTATCCTTATCCTCGGGCATAGTAATTGGCAACCCTGAACCCGAAAAAATCCTCTTCCGCTGCATCTCCACCGCAATATCATCCAGCTCATTCTCAATATCCAGGTGAATCCGCAGTCCCTTCTCAACAAGCACATTATAAACATGCCTGAGTTCATCAAACCCCATCCCGTCACCCTTCCGACTCTCCTGCGGATGCTGCTCCCGGATAACATCTGCCCGGAGATGAGTGAACGCAAGCATGATAAGCTCCTTCGACCAAGGGCAGGCGCGCATCCCGCGGTAAAAGACATTCTTTGCTCGTTGTATGTCGTTACGAGACAGTTCGAAGAGGATGTAGAGTTTCCAGATGGTGATGCTGGAGTGGCCGGTGGAGGTATTAGAGCCGTGGTGGATGCTGTCGCCAATGGCTTTCTCGAATGCCGCACGGACAGAGTGCATGGTTGATCCGGCGTAAGTAGGACGGTTTAGCTCGGTGTAAATTGAAAAGAGATGTGTCGTTATGGGTACTGGAGCGGCTGTGAGGTTGTCTGTGTTGGTCTTGATGCTGGTGATGTCTCGTATTGTGTCGCGAACGCGCTCTTCAATGCGAAACCGGGATTCGTTCCAGGCAAAGAGGGATAGAAATATGGTGTTGTGGCGAGACAGTGATATGCTTTCGGATAAGAGGGAACGAATATGTGAGGGTTTGTAAATGCCACTTGTGCGGATGTGGTGATACAGAAGTCGGGCCCGGGATTGATGGAGGAGTTCGGTCGTGAAGTTTGCGAATGACTTGGACTGGTCGGCTAGGGCAGCTAGCCTGAAAAATGCATTGTGATAGTATTCCAGGGACCTGCTTAGATCGAGGGAATTGGAGAGGTACGATAGAATAGCTAGGCAGTCTATGCATGACGTGAAGACGATTGGCTTCTCGTTCGCAAGACCAATTTCCTGTGCTTCTGAAAGGTACTAGATGGAAAGTCAGCATAGTGGAAGGGCCAGTGAATCTGATAAACATACACTTTGTGTCTTCAGCAAACTTGTCGGGCTGAAGGATGGGTGACTGGAAGCATCGGAAAGGATCTTCAGATCAATGCTATTCTGGGGCATCGAAAGGAGGAGATGAGATGCTTGGGCCACATTTTCAGCGTCGAGAAGCTCCCAAATCCAGGTGCGCCACACAATAATACTGTCCACCCTGTCGCGATCAGGAAAGGACTTGCTCATAGAGAGGGAAGTCGCCCATACATGATCGGCGGCTGCTTGATTGCCGAAACGCCGCTCTATCAGAGCATAAGCATTGTAAAGTCGCAGGCTAGACGATCGCTTCTTGAGCAGCGATTTCGCGAATTTTCTCGCATCCTTGCTTTTACATGCGAGTTCAAGAGCAAGACCATATTCTGCTAGATCATCATTTTCAGGATGCGCTTCTATCAACGATCGGACGACTCTGCGGACCCACACAGGGTCGACATCAGATTGTGAATTCGAAGTGGCGTCGCTCCAGGTTTTAAGGGCAGAAAACCATTGAGCAGGATCAGCAAACAAAGTATCCAGCGTGATTATATAGTTTGGATGAGGGAAAAGCATAGGGGGTGCAACCGTGGACTCAATGTCAGCGGCCACATCAGGGAGCCAGTCCGCAAGCGTTGCATAGAAATTGCTTGCAAATTCGTTCCGCACAAAGCCATCCCCATTCCAACGACTTGTCGTACCCCAACTGTCAACCGACGAAACGGGTGGGAGATGAGAATAATAGAAAAAGCTATCAATCAGCACTCCTACACGCGTTGGCTGCCATGCCAGCGACAGAATTTCTTCGAGATCAGGTGCGATGATTACTCTGTAGGGATCATCTTCCTCCGAATCATCAATACTGCGGGCTGGCAACCGAGCATTGACGATTCGTTCCCGTTCGTACGGTGCCCAGGAGGCAAACACGGCTTTTGAGTCCAGTTGAAATGGAAGCTTTTCGCTTGCACTCGTATTTTGCAGCACATTTCCCTCGTTTTTCCACCCTTTCGCGCCCGCCTCTCCGATGCGGGAGACCTCCGACTCCCAGAACTCCAAAAAAGCCGGTATCACCTCTTCTGAGCCTTCGCTTCTATCAAGCGAGCCGGGTCGGTAGAAAGTCAGCTCCAGAAGACCTTGCCAAAGAGCCGCGGCATGCTCTGTAAACCCAGCTTCCCGGATGAATAATGTCAACCTAAGGAACAGATAAAAGTGGATCTGGGTCTTCTCGGGTTTCTCGAAAGAAGACTTATTGAGTCTCAGACACTCCAGAAAGGTTGCAAGGCATCGCTCATACGTGAAGTCCAGAAATTCAGTTTGACGGAAGTCGAGATACCGGATCCAAAGGTTGATGTGCTCGGAATTTGATTTCAGTATCGTCTGCCACTGAGCAGATAGCTTCTTGGTGTCCCAGAGTTTTGCCCCCTCTTCGAGAAGGCCGAGCAAGAGGCGATCCTTTGCAGGGCTCGGTCCCACCTTTTTCAATGCTTTCTCGTACAGCGATAGCTTGATGTCGGCTAGGCCCATCTTTTCTGCATATGTCAAAGAGCCATATTCCCTTTCCGGTCCTCGAAGGAGCGATTCTTGATGGTCGATAAGCGTCAGCCACGCGGAGACGTCATCGGGGTGTTTTTCGACAGTCTGCAGTAACTCCGCATTGCGCTGCTTGATCTCCTGGTCGGGGTCACTCCGGCCGCCCTCTCTATCCGAATCCGTATCGGATACGGCTTCAACATCACTGGGCAAGTCATCCTCTGGCTTTGCTTTGCCGTGAATCGACCGATATGCGTGTTTTTCATCATCCGAGTCGACTTCCAACAGATCCAGGTGCTTTCCATTCCTAGATACACTCAAGGAAATGTAGTCTCGTGACGTATCTGCGGCTGCATCCACCAGCGATTCTGGCCGTACTCGAAGTAATCGGGATCTACCCTTGTCTAGTCCTGCGAGCAGATTCTTCGCCTTCTTCTTTGACTTTCCCTCTTTCTTCTCGTTCGTGACGATCAACACGTCCTCGACAGCGCTTTCCCGGTCGATCTTATAGCTGGAAGGCAATCCCAAGACGTTGCCCCGACCGACGCGATAATACTGTGGAACGCTATATCGATGTAACGTTCCATATATGAGGTTGTAGCGATCGCCCTTGCTATCTATAACATACAAATCCGAGGCTTCCTCGGGCGGGTGCTTCACGGTGCGGGTCGATGTGGATGCTCTTGGATATTCGGGGGTGGGCTCTCGGCGGCGATGACTTGCTTCTTTTCGAGAGGGCCGATGCTCCCTATGGCTCCTACGACGTTCTCGGGACCTAGAACGGTCATGATGGCTGCTATGTCTCGACCGATGCCTCGAGTGGTGGCTAGATTTCACATCGCGGTCGGAGGTATCGCGACTGGGGCGCCCGGGCGGCCGATCAGCTTCGGACGGAGGTGCTGGCCGCGGCTTGAAGCTGGCGAAGCGGGGGATGGATTTCTTTTCCTAATGTGAAATTTGATTAGCATCATACGAGTAGATAGAGCGCAATATTTGAGTCAAACATACCTGGGAGCCAGACGAATCCATGCTCCTGGAGAGATGAGGCCTGCCTTTTTGAGGGGGAGCTTCAACCAAAGGCGGCGGCGATGGCAGGCTGGAAAAACTAGGTTCCCGCTTCCCGCATTTTTTTCCGGTTTGGTTCCAACGGCCTCAAAAAAAAGTTGCTCCGAGCCATTCGAGATCTCCACGCTGCTCGGGGAATTACTGCCCGCCAACGCTTGGGGTCTTGACAAAGTTTTTCGGTGTTGATATTTGAGGGATGGATGTGATTTGCAGTTATCGATAAACAAATTTTTTCATCGTCAACATGGCCTCGTCCCTCGCCGCGCAGCTGTCGCAGATTGCGGCAAAGTCGACAAATCAGTTGAACCTCAAAGCGCAACGCATTGCGCACTCGCAGTCTCTCATCTTTGACTGGAAGACCGCCACTACACAGGATTTCGATACCGTCTACCAAATATGCTTCGAAGGTTTCCAGGAGTTATGTCAGCTCGATCCTCGTTTCGCGTCGTTCGAGCGCACCATCTTCAGCGAACAGAGCAAGGCGGAGGACCGAACAGAGATGAACGCTGCTCAGAATAAGGAGCTGGACACTGTTCTGGAGGCTTTC